CTCTTTCCTGGTTTGGGACATGCCAATGAAACCTCATCCAGACTACTAAATAAAAAAATACAATACAATACACGATGTCTGAAAGATATCTTTTTTTTCAATTATGACATTAACAGGATTATGCTAAAACATGAATTAGTCTTTAATTGGTTTACAGAGAAATACAACTATGCTAGGAATTTGCCTAGGCAAACAGAATAGTATATATTCTATGAATAAGTACTGTAATCATGTGCTTGTTACTTTGAAGTAAAAACAAACAAAATTAGCATAATAAAACAGTTCATATTTCTTAATGAAAATGTCATTATCTCCTCCTAGGTTTATAGAGCAATTACTGTGCATCAAATGTCCAATAATCATTGAGCTTTACCCAGAATATTTACTTATACAGTTTTGTCACTTTTAGGCAATCTGTGTTTGTGTGCAGACTCATTAAAATGACCTTTTAGCTCAGTTAATAATTTTGTTCTCTGTAAAATATTATTAAGATCTACCAGAAAGAAATAATGCAGAATGAATCATTTGATGTATTCTGAAGACACAAGAAACCAGCCTCACAGTTCTACAAATCACTGCCACTGGAAGCTGAAGGATTAGATTGACGTATATTTCCCGAGCTACATCTGTCATAACAAGTCTAAAAAAGCAACCAGCCCACTGAGCAAAAACTGGCACTTTGGGAAATGGCTTAAATACCACTATGCTCGAAACCATCACTTTTATGCTTCTTTTCATAAATTTGAATAGACTCAAATCAATAGCATATTCCTATCACCTTCACAACTGACTTAAAGATTAAAGAAAGGTATCCAGAACTCCTCCATTCACAGGGCATTCTGGATACTACCGCTCCAGCCAGTAGAAGTAAGGGAGCACACAGCATGTCCCGATTCCCCAAAGCGAAGAACCAAGCGCACTGAGACTACTCCAGCTGGGGGAGGCTCATTCTTTCAGCCCAGAATTGCCTGCTTAAGCCTTTACATTCTTCTGATTGCAATTTCAATCTCATCTGCATTTTGCAAAGCAAAAGTCTGCCTAACACTCCTGATGCAAATACATCTACTCACTCAAGACATTACATTACCCATGCCAAAATGCATGTCTTCAGAGATCTTTACAAATAATCATATAACAGTGTACTGAGATGGAGATTTTTTTCAGCCTTTTTCAAAGCCTGAAAAGAACACACACACACACGGGACCCCTACAAATTAGTCAGGGGAAGAATATCAAAGTAAAGACATAACAGATGTCAACTGACCCAGTTCATCACTTTTGGCATAGGCACATTTCAGACACTCAGCCCTGGTGCACGGCCTGGCTCTGCCATCGA